CGTGTCTTTATGTACGTTTGTACTGCAAAGATGATTGTTGGTTTTGTATTCATACATGTTTGCTACGTACGTGGTCGTTGGTTTTGTTTTAATGTATATTTGTTGTGCGAAAACGTCTGTTGATTATGCATTGTATATCAATTGTTAAGTTTTTATGGTCATTGAAATTAAAATAATTGTTTATTTTCACATTATGGTAATTTTTGCCCTTTCCGCGCTACCCATATGTTACATCTTTCAAACATATATTATTTTGATATCGCACTTTGTCAACATACAATTTGATTATATTATACTCTATTGATTTAAAAACCTGTTACATCTTTCAAACATATATTATTTTGCAATCTAATCTAGGGAGCCCCTGGCACCCCTAGTGAGAGTTATTATAGGGGGACATCTGCGGATGTCATTGCCCCAAATCTTTGTTATCATGTTTTCATGAATAAAGTATTTAAAATTAAAAAAAAAAGAAAACTTCGATTCTCCATTGTGGCCCCACCCTACCCCCTGGGGTCATGATTTGAACAATTTAGAATCTACACTACCTAAGGATGCTTCCACATAAGTTTCAGCTTTTCTGGCCCAGTGGTTATTGAGAGGAAGATTTTCAAAGATTTTCCTATACATTTCTATGTACAACTTTGATTCCCCATTGTGGCCCCGCCCTACTCCCGGGGGTCATAATTTGAACAATTTAGAATCTACACTACCCCAGGATGCTTCCACATAAGTTTCAGCTTTTCTGGCCCAGTGGTTATTGAGAGGAAGATTTTCAAAGATTTTCCTATACATTTCTATGTACAACTTTGATTCCCCATTGTGGCCCCGCCCTACTCCCGGGGGTCATGATTTGAACAATTTAGAATCCACACTACCCCAGGATGCTTCCACATAAGTTTCAGCTTTTCTGGCCCAGTGGTTATTGAGAAGAAGATTTTCTAATATTTTTCCTACATGTATGACCCTTCGTATACTGGAATATGGCAGATCCTATGATCTGCTGTACTTGTTTTTTTCTTTCTGATAGATGTTTTTCTTAGTTTGGGAAATGAAACAAGTCAAGGGTTAAAAGATCTGGCAAATGTTGTTGGTGTGATAAAACATTAATTTTCTATTTATCCCCAAAACTCCTTTACACTTAACGACCTGTGGGTTTGGACGCTGTCATGAAGAAATTTAATGTAGTGAATTCCTCATTCTCTTTTTTCTTCCTCTCATAAACCTTTTTTTGCAAAAAAATGTTTTCTAGACACCTCCAGAAATTGAAATTCTCCCCGAATATGAATTTGAACAACATAATATTTTAAAACATAGCATATAAATCTGTTTTTGTGCTCTAGCGTGCAATTCTTTGCTATTCTTAGGCCTTTGCAGTTTCGTCAAGTGCAACTTATTGCAATTTGTTTTGAGGGTGTAAAGCAAAATGGATTCAAGTTTCATTATCTGTTTGAATTTCAAACAAACGTGGATCAGTACAATTTTTTATTTTTAAAAAAATATTGTTTAGATATTCCTATACGTTGTCGTTTTCACTCATTTTTTCAAAATATAGAGTGACCTTTGAGTATTAAACTTCTTTACTATCAAATTTTCTTTGAGACAGTGTGAACTACCCCCAAAATGATTTTTATTAATTTTGCTATACTGTAAAAGTACATTTTTCCACGTGGTATTAATTTACGCTATGAACGCGTTCACAAATTTTCCGCGGAAATTTGTCTAAGCGTACTTAATATAAATGTAAGGCATATATTAAGTGACAGTCTAAGAAATCTGCGTAATTTTCTACCCGCGGATTAAACAGAAATGGAGATTACGCGGAATTATGACCCCGCGGAAAAAAGTACGTCTACAGTATTTTTAAAGTCATAAAACATAATCAGTGATAATTTGTTGAATTTTTGCAATTTTACATTGGTTGTGGTAAGTTATTATTGCCAAGGACGGTACCCATTTTTGAGACCCATTATTTAATTTTTGTGTATTGAAATCCAACTGTTCACGTGTCTATAAAACAGACATTGGTTGCTGTAAATTTCACATATTTCAGTTAATATGTAATATATTTTTTTAAGTTTTAAGTTTAACAGCTGCTTTAATGAAGCGTGTAATTTTACTCTCAAGTTTACCGATTCTTGACCATTCATTTTTAATGCAGTGTTTGTCGAATGGCCCTTGTTTTCCAACAATGAAATAATGCGATAAAAAAGTGGTCACATAAACTGTTATCAATTCATTAAAAATTCAATAATGAGAGAAAGTCAAGCTTAATATCCTATGACTTCTATGTTGTATGTCATCGAGCTACTGACATTATTTATTGAACGTTCCTCGTATATAAATGCCACTTTCACAGATTCTTTATATAATTCTTTATTACATAATGCCATTGTGGCCTCCTATTTTACTTTTTGATCCGACACTAATTTCTCCAAGTGCAATACAGGGACTTTGTCATTATAATCCTATGGCACGTGGGGGTATCATTTAGTGAGCTCGTTGCTTACAGTACCTCTAGTTATACCCCCGCGTGAAAAGCGGGAGGGTATATAATAATGTACGTCTGTTCGTCCGTCTGTTACGCTCTATTGAGGTATCCATCTCTTATCTGCAACTCATCACATACCACTGAATGAAATTTGATGAGACTTTCACAGAATCTTTATTTATTTACATATTGTCATTATGCACCTCCTGTGTTACTTTTTTTCATCCGAAACATATTTTGGGTTGCCCATAGCGAAACATGGACACTGCCCCTATATTTATATGCGAGGCGTGGAGTATCATTTAGTGAACGCATTGCCCACAGTTCCTCTAGTTATATTTAAAATACAGGAAGTCTATGTTTATTTAAAAGTTTTTGATTGTTCGGTATAATGAACAATTCATTGCATTAATTTTCCGGAAACATGAAGATTTATTTGACAAGGCGAAGCCCTCGGAGAATATGATTTTTCTTGACTGAATAAATCTGAATAAAACTCATTTTTATGCAGTAAATGTATAATATTTAATTTGTTCAATCTGTAATTGCAATTCATGTTTAAAGAATTGTATTTGTGTTTTGCAAATCAGTGAAGAAGATATAAAACACAGACCCCTGGAAATTCCAGATGTGGAATCAAGTATAAGCATCCCCTGTTCACGATATACATGTAGTACCTGAACGATTGTTATCAGAAAAAAAATTGCGCGTTCAGTACTGCTATCCGAAAATTGTACAGTTCCTATTGGGAAAAAATGGACGAAATTGTAAGTATTTTTCTTCGTTGGCTCAACAAAATGGTCAATAATTCAATTATTAAAGTTTAGCTACTTGGTATTTCACCCTTACGGAATGCAGCATTCCTTTTAAAACTAACATGTATATTAGTATTTAAATTTTTATTGAATTAAAGGCTTGCTGATAAATCAGACGCAAACTGTCGAAAGCTTTGGACACGTTTACCTGCATGCAAGAAATATATTAAAATTGCGTCAAAATTTTTAGATATTTGATGAAAATGAATCGACGGTTCGTTGTGTATTTGTAAATATTATTGGTTATTTTTTATCATCGCCCGCTTTGATGGGTTTCTGAGTGTTTTTATTTGGATAAACTTATGTTACGACTACTATTAGACAACAGCACCAGTTACTATATTAGAAAAGGTAGAAGTTTTCAAATTTCATGGAATCGCATCCTCAAATTTACATCTGTTATGCAATTATAGTGAAGAAAACTATATTCGTCAATCAGAAATCCAAGCTTCTTCTTGATGATAGCTTCAGGGTACTTGTGAGTAAAATCAAAATGTTTTTTAACAAAATAAATTTGCAAATGACCAATGACAAGGAAAGTTTAACGAGTTGAAAATATTACCTATTATGCATGACGGAATTGTAAAAATGGCAAGATGAATTGCAATGAATTTGTCTTCAGTGCAAAGGTACAAGTCAAATTGTTTAAATACATGTTGATTTTGAATAAGAATCGATATTTTTGGTTCCTATTAGCGCATTTTTATGCAGAAAAAATGTCTAAAAATACAAGTAATCTATTTTAAGCATTTTACTCTGCATCTTTTAACAAGTGCTCCTGTGTGAAAATTAGCATATAAAAGTATCATTTCTAATGTCTAAAAATTTAAAGCAAGTGGCAAGGGAAAAAAATGTCAAAGGTTTGAAAATTTCACACAAAAACTTTTCGGACATACTCTGTTCCCCCTTAAGGGAAACTAAATTGGACACAAATCTGGATTTTCTCAGTCTTTTAAATTCCAGAAAAGATTTTTTAAAGAAATCATGCACTTGCAAGGAATAATCAATAGACTGAGCCCCCTTCTCGCAGAATCCATCACCCTCAAAGTGTGGAAGAGGCACCATCGATCATAATAATTATTCACCTAGTTTATCTTCAGATTCGTCATATACAGGGAAAGAGAAGAAGATTCTTAAAGACTTAATCCATTTTCGCCATTTGATCATAAGAGCCTGGTCCTTACACCAGAACCCTTGACCCAGGGTTCATGAAATTCACAACTCTGGAATAGGCACCCATCTTTGTCATAACTAAGTACTATATGTACATCGGTTTAATGACCAGGAGCAGGAGAAAAACGTTTTCAGCGAGTATGTTTTCAAAGTTTGTAGTATATTTTGGTATTCAGTGATGTCTAGGCTCAAGGAAAAATATAATTCTTCAGGACATTATAGGAGATATAAATAGTATTAACATATTCAATATATATGTTTGCAGGGCTATGCTATGAGATATGAAATATCATGCTCAATTGTCTAACGTAACAATGTTACAACTTTGTTACAAGAAAAAAGTAACGGACTATGATGATATCATAAGTAAAATCGGGTGTATGAAGAAATGTAGAATCACAAGTTGACGGTCACTTTTATCGTGTTCTCTTTGTGGGTTCATGAGAAATTTGTAGTAAAATCAGTATGAAATTCATTAACGTTGTGTAAAAATCTGAAATCAGACACTTTTAAAATCCCTGTATCATCAACATGTTTAGCCTGCAAGTTTTAATCTTTTACTCTAAAAGGTCGAAAGAAGCCTCCACTTTGTCACCGGTCTCTAAAAACGTAGTTGTTACAGAAATCTCTGTCTGGCCAAATGTGAATGATTCCTGTACGACCCTTCTTTTGCCTGCATACGGTGGCAACTTCAGTTCAACTTTTCCGAGTAAAGTACACTGGTCGGTAAATGTAGGATCTTCCTCTTTAGAGAAGTAAACCTTCGTAGTCAATGATTTTGAAGATCTTTCATAAGGTGCTGCTGTAACTGTTTTGACTTCACCAGTTGTTTTAACTGAGGTTCCTCTAGAAATAAGCTTTTTAACAGTTCCATGACATTTCTCTTTCCCATCTTCGTTTATGTACTTCCTTTCCTCAGGGTGCTGTTTTGGATCAAAAGTTAGATTGTGATTAACGCCATATGTGTATTTCAAAATTCTAGAAGAAATCAATTCTGGTTTATGGCCATACAGAACTGCACCCTTTACAACTGCCATGCCACATTGCTGGGGAATTATCAATATTTGCTCCTTAAAACTATTTTTCATTCTTGTTTGAAGGATAGGGCTCTCAGCATAACCACCAACAAGAAGAATCATTCTTATGTCAGGGAATTTCCGAAGGATGTCACTAATATGATTAATTATGCCATTTATCGACTTGCTGAAAAACGCATTAAATAAATCCCTTTTCATTTTTAGTTTATCTCCACTAACAGAAACTTCATCGTGTCCAAACTGTTTTTCGATGTGTTTTCCAAGATCAGTGATCTGGGATTTGGATACTTCAACAAGATTAACTGGTATTCTAATAACGATGTTCCCCACCTGTTGAAGATTAGCATCACGCTTTTTAACCTCAAAAGAACGCATAATTTCAAGAAAATCGAACATGTCTTTGATTTTTAATTGCTGTAGACTTTGTGAACCAAATGCCTTCAAAATGAACTTTTCATATTCTGTATCAACATATATCCCTCCAAACGCTCCCCCGCTAGCTCTGTGTATCTCCTTAATTTTTTCCTTGTAGACTTTTTGGTGCACACAAAAATCAGCAGTTCCACCTAAAGTAATTTAAAAATAAATTAGAGAAAAATATATTTTAAGGGGGTCGACTGGTGTTTTGTTGTGTGAAAACTACAAGCGAAACTATTCATTTTATACCATTTATAACTCACATTATCTGCAGTAAACATGCAAAGTTTGGGGACAATCTACCTTCCAGGTATTTTTAAGGGACCGTCTCAAAATACAGGTACATTTACTATAGGAATATATGGGAAAGTGCCAATTTTTCGCTCTTTAAAGCAAATTATACAAATACTACAATAGACGTTTTGCTCAAACTATAATATGATGAGTTATATCATATTTGTACATTATATGTAAGAACCTCAAAATTCTACCGCCTTGTTTCCGGAGCGGCATCTCAAAATGCCAAAAAAAAATAAAAAATAAAAAATAAAAAAAATAACGAATTTCCTTGTTTTCATAGAGTACTACAAAATATGACGCATACAAATGATTTATAAAAAAATTGAAAAAATATGACGGAGAGATTATCAAATTTATATGTTTCAAATTTCAAGATAATTTGTTTATTATTTTTTCTTTTATAACATTTTTTATTATCCCATCTTTAAGAGCGTCGCGTTATCTAACGTCAAAAACACACTATTACGACGCCATTCTAGTTGCAGTTAAAAAATCATTTTAAAACTCATTTATTTTACATTTTTGACCCGTAATTTCTTAATTTTTGTTTAGTTTTATTTATTAAGTGAAAAAATTGCTTTAAAGCAGTAAATACGCTTCATTTTTACTATGATGCGCGAAATATTGCGCAATGAAAACCACAGTCAACCCCCTGAATTACATAATGTAAAATCATAAGAGGTTAAACTTTTTAATATACTGACACGCAAAAGAAACGCAACAAGCAGTAATTTACAAATGCTTGATTTTTTATCTTATGATTTTCAAAAGCGAATAAGATAAGGCAAAATTCACTTTTCAGAACATCAGAGATTTGATAATAATGTTAAATGTTTATCTGTTTACTTTACTAAGTTAAATATGATTGTTACAAGCAAATTCAAAGAATTGTGGTCCCCCGCTTTCGGTGTCTTTGTGGGTGAGATGTTATTTTTATGACATATTGTGTGTAATACGAACATCCTATCATATGTCATTTATTTAGAAAGTAACACTGAAGTTGATTTTTTTTTGAAGGATGAAAACCCTAATCCTGACCGTTAAAAAGTTATGGCCAAAGTAAAAAGTTTTTGAAATGTAGGTCAAGATCAAAGGGTCAAAGTTGTTGATATCCAATGAAAAGTTTTCTCACAAGGATTACATATGTGAAGTATGAAAGCCCTAGCCCTTACTGTTCAAAATTTATGGTCAAGGTTAAAGTTTTTTTCATAAGTACATAAATCTTTAAGGTCAAGGTGAAAAGGTCAAAGTTGTTGATATCCAAGGAAAGGACTTGCCACAAAGAACACATATGTAAAATATAAAAGTCCTAGTATCTACCGTTCAAAAGTTGTGACCAAAGTTAAATTATTTTTAAAAAGTAGTTAAAACTCCAATGTCAAGGTCAAAGGGTAAAAGTTATTGGTATCCAATGAAAGGTCTTCTCAAAAGGATCACATATGTGAAGTACAAAAGCCCTAGTCCTCACCGTTCAAAAGTTATGGTCAAGGTTAAAGTTTTTTCATAAGTAAAGAAATCTCCAAGGTCAAGGTCAAAGGTCAAGGTTGTTGGTATCCAATGAAATGTCTTGCCACAAGTAATACATATGTGAAATATAAAAGTCCTAGTATCTACTGTTTAAAAGTTGTAACCAAGGATAAAGTTTTTAAAATGAAATTAAAACTCCAAGGTCAAGGTCAAAGGGCAAAAGTTATTGGTATCCAATGAAATGTCTTCTCACAAGGATTACATATGTGAAGTACGAAAGCCTTCGTCCTCACCGTTCAAAAGTTATGGTCAAGGTTAAAGTTAAAGTTTAATCTCCAAAATCAAGGTCAAAAGGTCAAGGTTGTTGTTATCCAATGAAAGGTTTTGCCACAAACAATACATATGTGAAATATGAAAGTCCTAGTAGCTACTATTGAAAAGTTATGGCCAAAGTAAAAGTTTGGAATTTTTGTGTAAAAGTGGGTCAAACTCCAAGGTCAAGGTCAAAAGGTCAAATTTGGTGGTACCCAAAGAAAGGTCTTGTCACAAAGAATACACATGTGAAATATGAAAGTCATAGCTCCACTAAATCAAAAGTTATGGGCAAGGTTAAAGTTTTTGTGACGGACAGACTGACGGACAGACGGACAGACAGACAGACGAATGAGATTTAATGTCCCCTCGCTTTCACGAAAGCGGGGGACAAAAACACACCCCTCCCGGGCATTCAAGTAAAACGTGCAAGGCTGCCCTAAACAACAATTGCAGCTTAATTTCTACGATACAGTAGGTTCATTAATATCGAGATCTCATCGAAGGAATTATTATTTGATATTTTTAAATGCCCGTTTTTCAGATAATTAGGTCGAATATTCTCTAACTTAGAGCAGTGCAGTCACCCTTGGACTTCCCGTACAAGGACTGTCCTTAATGCATATGATACGTAAGGCCCTGTTGAGTGAAATTTCGCATCAGCAACTCTCCATCACCTTTGCATTGAAATTTTCCAGCTAGAGCAATGGAAATACGTACATAAGCCATTTTCAAGTAACCTTAGCATTGTTTCGGGAAACGAAAGTAGAGTTTATTTTTTGAAATATTGCTGCATTACTTATGCTGAACAGTAAAAACCCTTAAAACTCCATAATATTGCCAAATGTTTTGTTAAACATGCAATTTTTTATTTCTGTTAAGCAGACTAAAACTTGACTTCCGGTTATGGTACGGAAATCGTTCAACCGTTAATTTACTAATGTCTACCAAATTGAAGATATTCATAATTTTAAGATATAAAATTCTTTACTTTACATAATTATTTCCCCCTAAAATAGGGTGTTGCGTTTTTTTTTGCGTGTCAGTATATTATCATGGTAAGAAGAGAAGTTAAAAAAAAACGTGTCCTTCACAAACGCTTAATTCATACTCTACTCTTAGCACGAAATAAGATATCCTTAAGCCATAATTTATCTTTCAAACCACAAAAATTACCATCTTCAAAAAAGTGAACTTTTAGTACTCTTAGCTTTAACTCTTGGTTTGAACCAACAAATCTCCCTCTCACCTCCTATATCTGCAATAAGATATTTTGTTCCATCCGGTGCTTCTGTAAAGCCTTCTCCTCCGGGTAGCTTTTCCACTGGCAGCTGTTTACAATAGAAAGAAGCTGCTTCGGGTTCCAAGGCAAGAATCAATCGTCGACCATCTATTCCAGCCTTAAATGATAATGACATGATGCGCTTTGATTAATATTACTGTATATAAAAATACTGATGAGTCCGCTTGGGGCAAAACCGCTAAAGATTGAAGTTTGAGTTTTTCAAACACATTGAAAACATAATCATTAGTTTGGTCATTTGCAAAACTATTTTGTTAAAAACGTTCTGATTGTATGCACAAGTACTCTGAGGTTGACATAAGAAAGATGCTTGAGTTTCTGATTGACAATATTTACGATTCTAGATATCTATATCGTATTTGGTTTTTGGAGACCACGTCTTCCAACAACATATTGAGATTCCCATGGATACCAATTGCGCCCCGTTTTTAGCAGACCTATTTTTGCGTTTAGATGAAGCGGAATTTCTGCAAAAGCTTACGCGTGAAAAAAAACCACTTGCTGGGATTTCAACTCGACATTTAATTTATCGACGACGTATTGTCAATCAACGATGGTATTTTCCATTCTTATGTTGATTCGATATATCCTGGTTAGCTTGAGATAAAAAAAACCCACAGAGTCGGACAAATCTCTTTCATATTTATATATTTTACTTCAAAAAGACGTTGATGGAATCTAACAACCAAGCTCTATAATAAACATTTTGACTTTAACTCCTTTTATTTCTATCGTCAAGTTCCCTTACTTTTGCAGCAATATACCTGCATACTTTGATATATATTCGAGTTAATTTGATACGCAAGAGCATATGAACAAATAAACAATTTCTACAACGAGGTAAATTATTGACAAACAAGTTTATGAAACAAGAAGTTCTATAGTAGGTACAATGACCTTACTAGCAAATATGATTTATCATTGAGTCAAATGCTGAGTGACGTTTTTCATATTGATTGTTAGTCCATTATTTATACACTGAATTGACGACGGATTTTTTCCCTTTTTTTCTGATCATGACAAGGAGAAAACGCCGGGTGTGACAATTCGGCAGGGGACGCTCACTCCTCCATGGCACCTAATCCCACCTCAGATGTTTTGGAGGTCCGTGTTTGCTCTGCTCCTATTTTGTTGTATTGTTTTATGGACTTTTTACTCTGAAAACTTTTCTTTATCTCCATTTGTTTTATTATGATTTCAAAGTGTGTTACATTGATAAAAACAAGTTGTATTTTACTATTTTATGTAACAAGTATCATTTGTATACAAAAATCAAAACTGGAATTTCGATGGAAAACAGTATTTTTAAAAATCTTGGTAAAAATTTCTTACATTAATAGCTGCTTCTCTCATAAACTGTTTCGCATTGTCATCCCAAATAGCCGGAACAGTGAGAACAAACCGAATATCTTCAAGGCAGATCGTTGGTATCCTATCCCTTAGTGATTGCAAAATATGGTCTTTGAAGTAATTTATAGAAAGGGAAAATATCAACATTGCCGGAAGGGCCTTGCCTGTTATATCTTCTAATATAGTTCCTCTTGATAGAGACTAAGGAAAAAGAATATAAGAAGTGATAGTGTTGTTTTTGGAGACGCTGTAAGTAAAAATTTATTTCCGTAATACACATGAAAAATAAAGGAACATAAGGAACTAAAATATCTATTATTAGTTCAATTTCAATCTTTCAAATGAAAAATTCGTAAGATATGTAAGGTTAGCTATTAGTACTTAGCTACGGCATGTGAGTAAAGTCTACTTCTATCAACTGGCTTAATTTAGAACCGACTTAAAATACTTCTTGTACCGTGTTTTCTCCTCGGTTCACACTGATAGATAAGAAACAGGTATTCCAATCTTCTACTAAACTACAACATAGAGAATTTAACACCAATTCCCTAGGATACTAGTACTTGCTATTTGTGCTTATTACTTTTATACTTTGCTCTTATCCTTTACTTCTTGATTGTTGAATCAAATTCAGCTAGCTTCTGATTTTCCCACATCCCTGCCTAATATGATTGTCTGGTCATTTTGTTATATGAAGTCTTCAGTGCGTTTTAGGTAAATGCCCATTAACCATACCACCTATATATAGCTCCTAGCACTTTTAAGCCCACGTGTGTTTTTTTCGCACAAATTTATGTCACATTCTTTTTGTAATAAAAAAAAATTAACGTTATCGAAATTCAGTACGAAGACACAGCCCTAAGTTGTATTACTTATACCCTGTCAAGGGTTATTGTACTTTGAAATTATTATTGTAAGTTTCCAAGTGGATGCTGTTGAAAGAAAAAAATCTTCTACATTTACAGTTTGAAACTTTGAAGTTTTGTAGTGAGATGGATATCTCATAAATCACAATACTAGTTTTTTAAAAATATATTTTGTTGCTTCGATACATCATATTGAATTGTAACAATGCGACGTTAATTTATGTGAAAAATCATTTCAGCTTAAAAAGTGCTCGGAGCTGTAATTTCCCATGAATTTGACATATTGCTGGTGTCCCGGCCTACCATTTGTCAGAATTTGAACACACTTAGATTTACACTACCGGAAGATACTTCTGTATTGATATGACTTATAATCGCTTAGCTGTTCATAAGAAGAATAATTCTTAGATACTAGTAGTTCCTTTATATTTCTACGAAAATAACTTGGTAACAGGGGATCATGATTTGAACAAACTCGAATCTACAATACCTGGGCATATTTTTATACTAATATGACTAATGATGCTTTATGGCTGTTCTTGAGAATAATATCTTTAAAAAAAATTTTTATACTTCTATTCCTTTCGTAAAATTGTGTAAATTTTACGGAGTAAAAGTGTATATACATGTAATTCAAATTAATGTGTTCAATTCATAGATTAAAGTGTAAAATTTTCAGATTAAAGGGGCCTGGGCACAATTTCAACTGATTTTATAAAACCAATTTTAATGTTTACAATTCCTACCTAAAGCTTCATCTATTGATTAGCAAAAATTTAAACACCATTTGTTTATAAACAAACAAAATACAGAACTTAAAGTTCATCACAAATGAATGTAAACAAGGCTCGTGCCTTGTTTTTATTTACATATAGAAAATATCATTTTATAACAAAATGAAGTTCAGCAAATCAGTAGTATCTGTCGAATCGTATTTAAATCAACTTTTATTTGAAATTATCTTCTTTGAACGAACATATACATGTATTGATCAGTACATTAACCTGTTTGAACAAAAACATGACACTAGTCTTGTTTACATAACAAAGGTTTGGAGCTCTAAATCTGTCTTGTATCTGGAAACTGGCATTCAAATTTTTGATGACCATCAGAAAGACCTTAGTTAAATATTTGAAAGAAAAGAAAAATTTTGAAATTTTAGCTGAAACTGTGTCCATGCCTCTTTAAATTGTAAAAATGAAAATAAAAAAGTGTCAAAGTGGTCTAAAATACGCTTTCGAAGAAAATTGTTATGTTTGACATATTTCTTTGATAAAAACAACTATCGGACTTTAATTTGGAGCCTTACAACTTTTTTAAAATTCACATTGTTCTGTCTTATACATCATGAAGATATATGAAAGTATTAATTTTTTTTACACATTACTTCGAACAAAACAGTTATAATATAGCATAAATGCATGGATATTTAGATACAATATAAACAGGAGCTTTTTTACATCAACATGATAAAAAATTATGAGTTATGTATCTCTTTAAGACTTACTCTCAGGCTACAGTATTGTAAAAATTGAATTTTGATCAAAATTGTAAAATTGTCCCTTTAAAAGAAATTGGACACTATCGGTCCTTTTCAAGTTGTGAATTTTTGAAAGGCATAAGCAACGTTGAAATCCATTTAAAATGTAATATTTACATTCCCAAAATCTGTGTCCGAGATAAAGTTACACATAGTATTAATTCTAATTCTATTAAATCTATTGGTTCATCGATAGACGCGGTTAAAAAATTACGTGCGGGGTAGGACAAGTAGAGACAGAGGCGGGGCTTGTAGCGTGGTTTGGCGGAATCAAGGCGGGGGGGGGGGGTATAATATAAGCATTTGTTAAAGTGAGAGTTGTAAATACCTCCACATACTTAAGTTTGATTGTGACCTTTGGGTCAATGGGTCAAAGGTCAAGGTCATTTATCAAGGTTAAATGTCGGAGTATCTGGTTTTTAAAAAAAATTCGCCGCCTCGGGAAATTTTTTTCTTCCCTTGGGGAACCATAAATTTGCTATTTCCCTCGTACCCATTCCATAATTTTATAATAATACCAAATTCAAAACTTTAGAACTTCGATTTATTATATATGGTGAAAACTTTGGAACTTTGATTTAATATAGTGAAAACTTTGGAACTTTGATTAACTATGGTGAAAACTTTGGAACTTTGATTTACTATAGTAAACTATAGAAAACTATAGTTTCTTGGTAGGGTACCTCTCGGTAGATGTTAATGCCCTTTACTTAAATTTTGAAACAGTTTCTAGTAGCCAGGTACCAATTACTGGTAAGTAGCTTGACTCGCATGTCGGACGTAACCAACTACTAGAAGCTAGCTTTACTCATATTTTTTAAAAAGTCAGTTTCAAGAGGCCATTTACTAGTAATTAGTAACTAGCTCTACTCAAATGTCGTAGGCAGTTTATCAAAAATCGGTTTTTAATTATAGCATGTATATATTCTTTATATATGATTCTTTAAATATAAATTATATAATTTTACTCTGAGTAGATGAATATATAATCAATAGCATAAAACAACATTTATATAATAGTCTTTGAGAGAATGTTAAATGAAAAATACCCTGTTTTTATGTAGAGTCATTTTGAACTGTTGAAAAAAATAATAGTCCTGATGATTTCCATCTTCAGCGAGAGTAGCATATCTGTTCTGAGCTTCGTAACCAAAACTGTCAAAGGATTGGTTCTCTTTCAAAAGAATACACGTAGGAGTTTTCAATGACGCAAGAGTAGAACCACCTGCATACCATGTCTGTGGGGAATAGAGGTCATTTGGAGAATCGCGCAAAGAAAAAGCATACCCACTATATGTCGTTCCAAAGTCTATTGCAGAAACAACGAGAAAATCTTGAGGATTTAGCGAGGTAGCCATTTTCTTAAGTCTTAATTGAAATAGATGGTGGACTTGTTGGGAATCTAAACAATTTAATAAAGAATTTAAAAAAAATAATTTCTACTAATTTTTTTTATCAGAAAATGTTGGATAGTTTTTTTTTTTTTTATCTTTTATGTTCTTTTTTGAAATAAGAAAATTTGTCCTTTCTCTATATTTTCTAAATAATGATGATAATAGTAATAATAATAAAAATCAGATACATTTTTAAATATAATATTATGTCGCTTTTAATCTGCTGTATATAGCTTTGGCACAATTAAAATGAAAGTACGTTTTCTTGGATAATTACATTTTCAAAGTTTGGGCATAAAATATGGTTTCTTTTACTTTAGACAAATTAATTGCTTCTAAGGTTTCAAATCTTTCTGACTTAAAACGAAACTTATATTTCATCGTATGTATTTATAGGACATAGTAAACGATTTAATTCTTTGAATTTAAAGTCCAATCACTTCCTAATGGACTTTTGCGAAAACACTGACTTTTACAGTTGAAGACATACTTGGACATTTAAACCTGCGTCATGTACAGAGGTACGGAATTGAAAATAAATAAGAAAACATCAATTGAGGTGAAACTTATTGTATTCGAGGCTTTGAAATAATTTATCAAACCAAAAATATATTTGATGGTAGAATAAAATTTATTTCGATACATTATTCACAAGAATTAAAGCCGCTTGGTCCGATTCTAATCGCTAAACATATATATTCGATTTTCTTCTTGAAAAATAATTGTCCATAAATTGTTTCAACTTTTATCAAATTATATCCCCAAAGTCCTTTTCTTTTAAAAGATATCAGAATTCAAAAGTTAAAAAAAAATTTAGGTCACACAAAAAATAATCCTATGTTGATCATTGTTGATATCGCGTGAAATCACCTTCGAAAAATTAAATTTATCGCTTACATGTTTATCTCATGAAGAACACACCCGAGCATTTTTTTCACATGCAACAAAGTAAATATATTACCTGTACACGGACAATATTTTAGCTCCTTTAAAAAAATTATTCAAAATATCTGATTTTCCTTTATTCTTTAAATATGCATATTAATATAAAAATTACTATGGATTATATTCAATTAATTTCTTAATTTTGAAAAGATGTATTATGACTAAGGCTTCTAATAATAGAGAAAAAAAAACTCGGGTTTGAATTATCTTCATTATTAGATATATCCGATAAACTTATTTTTTTCAAAATTGACTTCACAACAAATCTTAACTTCCGTCAGGAACTACTGTTTGTCAATAAGGTTTTTGAGCTGCGTTTTCCATGTAAGGATTGTTGTAATAAACTATTAAATCAATCTTATAATTCATTTTTATATATTATCTATGTAATGACGTACTTTTATTGAGTAAGATAATATGTGCCTGTTTCGGGTTAAGCGGCTTTAATATATCCTTTTATTTTCAATAACTTAAGAAATGAAATAAAGAAGACATATTTCGGTAGGAAAACTCGGCAGGAGTTAGTCAAGACTGGAATGGAGGGTGTTGAGGGTATGAATGTTGCTTTTTCCTTCCTAGACAACGTAATATGATCTTTGAAATAGCCCGTTATTATCGTTTTGTTGAATGTTAAGATCAAGATTTTTTTTCACAAAAGAGCTACCGTATATTTTCCAAGTTTAAAAGTAAGCCGTCAACTGTAAAAGTCAGTGTCTTCGCAAAAGTCCGATAAGGTCTGTTGTTAAATGGGTCAATGAACATTGTTGGGCACCGTGTAACTGGACTGGAGGCTTAGAGTGGAGTTTTGGAGTTACATTTTAAAGGTTAAGTTTGGAGTTTAAGATTTAAAAAAAAAGCCTAAATGAATAATGCTGCTTATGAAATTGCATTATTATAAAAGCATCCATCTCCTAGATAAATTAGCGATTCAAAGGTACTATTACCATATCAAAATTCATTAGTTTCTCACAATGGTGCAGTGGCGGATCCAGAGAGGGGTTACGGGGATTGCACCCCCCCCCTTTGGATTTTAAAAAAAAAGAGAGAAAGAAGAAAGTCCCAAATTTTTGTTGTGTTTTTACTATAGAAAATGTTCAGTGAAAGGCTAATGTCGTAATATATATAAAGAAATTCAGTTGTGCGTACAAAAAAAACCCCCCAAACCCCTATACTATGTAGGATTTCCGGGTTAGGAGATATATTTTGCTCCCACTTTTTTAAAGATACTCCACCTGGTATCCTATGAAGTTATTTAACAGTTTGCATGTGTAAAACGTACGTAATAATAGGTCTTTTTTCCTTTCAACCCCTCTTTGAAAAACCCTTCACCCCTCCCTTTGAAAAATTCCTGGATCCGCGCCTGCTGTGTATTTATTTCGAACTTTCGGCCACCTACAATAAGTATGAAAAAAGTCAGTCAGCATTTGACTTAATGATAAATTCTATTTGCTGACAAGGTCATTGCATCGACGATAGAACTCAAGAAATGAAAACTTTAAACAAGACTGCTGATATGTTTGTTTCATCAACTTGTTTGTTAATAACTTACCTTGTTAACGACACTGTCCATACATAGAACATTTTCTTACATATTGAATCAACTGAGAGCTGATTTTGCAGGTGAAAAACTGAAATTGCTGCATAAGAAGGGGAAGTTGACGATAGTAAAATAAAGTTATCACGTTTTTCATAGAGCTTGGTTGTAAGATTACTATTAATGTCTTTTTCGACTAAAATATTTAAATACGAAACATATTTATCTGGCTCTATGGTATATTTTAGCTCAAACTCACCGGGATATATCGTATCGACTTAAGAATGGGAATTACCATTGTTGATAGACAGTGCGTCGTCGATATATATATTAATGTCGAGTTAAAGGTCATAGAAAGTGTTTTTTTCTTTTCACTCATACGATTTTGCAAAAATTTCACTTCATATGAATACAAAAAAGGTCAGCTTATAACGGGCGTAATAAGTACCCATGGGAATTCTGAAAGATTATTGGAAGACATGGTCTCCAAAAACAACATAGCTATTGTCTATCAGAAACTCAAGCATCTCTTTGATATCAACTTTAGAGTACTTTTGTGTACTATCAGAATGTTTTTTTAAACAAAATAATTTTGCAAATGACCAATGACAAGGAAGTAAATTAACAAGTTCTATTTTCATTGAAAAAGTAGCTGTCAATGATATCATTAATATATTCAAGTCGGATTTGTCTGAACTTTAAAATAAAAACCAGTCTCAGAGAAATAAAATTTAAAATTCATACTGGTATTTTTACAATGGTGAATCTAAACTGGATATAATTTATCCTACAAAGCAGGAAGTATAGATGTGTTTTTGTTATAATTTGTAAAAGAATTATGGAAGGAAAAATGAATTTTGAAAATAAATGTTGAACCCAATACTTTTTCCTGAAATATCACATATTTTCTGTATTTAAACACAGGAAAGATTCATTAAATTTCAAAGGAAAATAATTAAGTATGAAACTGTGATAGTTTATGAAGAATTGAAATATTTATAAAGATAGCTAGAATCTTTGAATTCAAATACATTTTTAGATACACTTAGGAAAAAAAAATAAATTTTCAATTCTTAAAGAACTCACAACAACACATGATTATGATATTAATTATATTAATTCATTAATTATTGAAATTTATGATATTAAAAATGAAAACGCACAATGAGATTTTCATTTATAATTGATTTAAAAAAAGTTTAAATGGAAACTTCTCTGTAACATATTACTTAAAAAATTACTTGAAGCTTTTAAATAACTTTAACAAGAGGTACAGAGGCCACATAGCTCACCTGAGCAACTGGCTAGGTAAAATCAATATTAAAAAAATTAAATACGAAGGTGGATTCAGGGGAGAGGGGTATATGACAAACCTAAATCTATACTTCCTGTAGATGCTTTCAAATCAATAATTCATTATGGCATTAATTGCACTTTATAAGATGAAATTTTTATTGATATAGCCATGATATTCCATTGAGTAACTATGATTCACTTTAATGAACTTCGAATTCTCTTTTCACCTGGTTGGTCATAATTTGAACAAATTCAAATCTACATTACCTTTTTTGATGCTTTTATATTGATGATCAATCATGTTCTGTCGTTCCTGTGAAGAATTTTAATGATTTTTTCTTTGTATTCCTACGTAAGACCTCAATCACCCATTGAGGCCCCACTCTACCCCTGGGGTCATGATTTGAACAAACCTGAATCTACACTACCCTTGAACAATGAACAATTACAGCCTTGCTGTTCTGGAGAAGATGAATCTTAAAGAGTTTTTATATGTAATCATTCTTAAAACTTTGATCAAGCATTATGGTCTTACCCTTACCCCAGGTGTCATGATTTGAAAACTTGCATCTATACTACCAGAGAATGCATCAATAGTTATGACCAATCATGGCGTTGCTGTTCTTAAGAAAACTCAAAAAAGATTTTAAAAGATTTTTCCTATTTATCTCTATGTTCAACTTTGAAACCCCTATTCTGCATGACCCCACCCAACTCCGGGGGTCATGATATGAGCAAACATGAATCTACACTATCAGAGGATGCATCAATGACCAATTTGGCTTTCCCTTTCTTGAAAATTTTTTTTCCCTATGTATTCTTATTTTAAAATTTGATACCCCAATGAGGCTTCGCACTACCCCTGGGATTATAATTTGAACAAACTTGAATCTACACTATCTGAGGATGCTTCCACATGAGTTTCATGGTTCCTGGTCCAGTAGTTCTTTAAAAGATGCAATTGATTTTCCCCTAATTAATAATCATCTTCACTTGTAATAGGGCATGCCCCTTTGTTCAAAAACAAACTCGAATCCCCGTTACAAAAGGATACTCTCTGGCAAGTTTGGTTGGAATTGACTTATTGGTTTTTGAGAAAAAGATGAAATAGTGAAGTATTCTCGACTACAACAACGATAGACAAGGGACAAATTTTGATAAGAAAACCTCACTTAAGCCTTCGTCTCAGGTGAGCTAAAACAGTAGACAGTTATCATTATGAGTGGTAAAAGGAAACCATTGATGGTTCAACGTTGTTTTACTTAATGTTAAGTTATTTACTTAATGGAAAAAGACCATATTTTGTTATGACCAAGCTCAAAATTTAATCTATATTGATGAACTTTTACTATAATGATACTCTTTTTCATTGAAAGTTAAAAGGTAGAGAATGAAAGGTACAGCAAATGAAAAGTGGATGTTTTTGACTAATACTAAATCTGAGTTAAATGTGATTTTTATCAATTTAAACAGAAGATGTACATACTTCAATTATACGAACATGTGTATGTAAAGTTCTTATGTTTTATATTAGGGCTGTTCAAAAAATAATGTCCTGAGTTCTGTGACATACAACATATACTTGTCAAAATTTCTAAGTCCCAACTTTTATTATTTCAAAAAATTTCAAACCTTAATATCAATTTGCTAGTTGGTTACATATTTAAATTTGCATTTAATTTGCAATGCTTAAACCTGTTACGACCAACGACCAAAAAATGCAATTGAAACTGTAATTACTTGACGTGACCGTTCTTGTTAAGGACGTTCGATCCTGATATCCTGATATTTTGAGAGTATTTCGGTCAGGTCCTTTATTTAAAAAAAAAAGCATCATTTTTAAGTTCTAACAATAAAACTGAATTCTACAACGCAAATTGAACTATATTCAATGGTAAAATCGGTAAAATAGGAATATATATATATATATATATATATATATATATATATATATATATATATATATATATATATACTGAATCTTTCGACTAAAAATACATGTACCTATTTCTGGTACTAAACTAAGCTCTCATTTCACAGCATTATAAGACTAATCATTTTTCTGCTGGAATAATTATAGATCTATAACCTTTCCTTTTATTCATAAAACTGTTGTTTATGCAGCAAGAGATGTTGGGATTTCCCAAGCTTCATGAAAAGATTGTAGATGTTGTAACCAGCTTGTTACGTAGGCGATTACAACCCACAAACAATATGGTGAGTCATATATATTATCAGATGAAATCATTGTAATTGTTTAGGCTTTTTATATGAATAATTATTCACTGTTTTCTTTATTTTGATATTCTTGCAATGCTTGATTTCTGAGAGAGAGAGAGAGAGAGAGAGAGAGAGAGAGAGAGAGAGAGAGAGAGAGAGAGAGAGAAGGAGTACAATTAATAAAAAAAATGAAATTCTTAAATAGATATATCTTCAAGAAAGTCACATTTTGAAGACTGGATGCATCTGTGCATGTGTTTATTTCTTTTCAGGTACAAAATTTAGTTGCAATAGAGTTAGCATATATCAACAATAAGCATCCAGATTTTCATGAAGCCAACTTATTCCAAAGATCACAAGAACTGGAAATTAGTAAAAATTTAAATGAATTCCGTGTTAATAATGAATCTACAAAAGACCATAAGGTATGAAGTCCAGCCATTAAATTGGCATACGTTTTATACGTACTTTAATTGAAAAATTCTTAAAATTTCAATTTAGCCAGAAATTTTGAGCTTATGATAAACACTATGGTTTGTTTACAAAATTGCTTTCATTGACAGAATGGGAATCCGGGTAAAATTTCTAATTACTTGCGGGGTCAGGGTGACCTACATAATGATTTGTCACAGACCAGTAGCCCGGCTAGCAGTCGACCAGATTCACCCATTCACGCTGTAAAGGGAGTTAACCTTCTGTCAGATGTGGTAAGTTAGTTTTATATGATTAAACCCTGAAATATATGCACAGGAAACTCACAGTTTGAGAATACATATGCACTGCTAAATTTTATTTGCTGGTACTTTTGCATTAAATGAGACTTTATACTGTACAATTTTAATTAGGCTTGTCACTTAGAGCACAAGTGTACTGTACCAAGATTCATAATTCTGTGTATATTGGTTTTTGTTTTCGAACAGTCTTGCAAACTTAACTAGAAATAGAAATGTCTTTGAATTCATTATTTAAAACTCTACTCCTTCTATAGTTTTGGTCTGAGTAGATGTTTACACAAGTAGAGTGTACTATAATGATAGATTTTTCTTTATTATACATGGAAGTACACACAAGTAGAGCCCAAGTTTTTTCAGAAATTTTTAGTTATATAAGTGTTGCAATATTTCTAAGTAATGACAAGTGTTTAAGTTTTGAAGATGTTTCTTTTTTAAATACATGAATCGAGATCTCTTACAGCCCCAGCCTACATCAAGGAAACTCTCCCCCCGAGAACAGCGGGACTGTGATGTCATAGGTAAACATCTTATAGTGGATTTTATCTTATTGAGCCTTATATTACCAAACTGTTACAAGGATCAATTTGTCATCTTGTTTAATAGTTTGATTTCATGTTTTCTCTTTTTTTTTACTCCAGAACGATTGATCCGATCCTATTTTCTGATTGTGAAGAAGAACGTCCAGGATACGATTCCTAAGGCCATTATGCACTTTCTGGTGAACTACGTAAAGGACAATCTACAGAGCGAACTCGTTAGCTCATTGTACAAGAAGGAAGAGCTGGAGTTCCTTCTGGAGGAATCAGAACATATAGCACAGAGGCGCAAGGAGGCCAGCGAAATGTTACAGGTGGGACAGCACAGAGTTGTCTTTCTTTGCAAAACCTAAAGTAGTCAATCTGTAATCACATTGCATGCCACATATCACGTTTGAATATAAGAGATGATGAATTTACCCAATATTTTAATTAATACTTTAAGACTTTTTTAGTGGATTTTGATTCAAAAATTGGACCACTGCAAAAAATATCTGTTGCATTGCAAAGATTGATACTACATGTATCTGTAGATTTTCTTTTTTGATCAACCCTTGTATTGTGCATTTTTAAGCTAATATATATTTCATTTTTGCTTATACAACAAAGATTGTTTTCTACAGATGAATAATTCATTTCCTTCATTTCTAAATTTTCAGGCACTTCAACGAGCGAGTCAAATAATTGGCGAGATACGAGAGATTCATCTGTGGTGAGGATAATTGGACAGTGCAAACCAAAGGAAGGGTTTATATAAATCGTTACCCCGCTACACAGGAACAACACATGGACATTTATAAACATTTCAATCAATTTACATTGAAACAAAACAGACTTCTCATATACATACCCATACATGTACATTTCTTTTTTCTACAGGACACTCCGTAAAACTTTGATGTTATTTTATGGGTATATTACATCTAGGTGTGTAATAAAATTTAATTCAATTCGTAAATCAAAAATGTGTGTTAAATGAGTGCTACAACTGTTTTTTTTTCTTAGGTCATTTATAATTAGATTAAAAGTACTCAGTACATGAAACTGAGCTGATTTTGTGTAAAGAATTTAATTTTGCTCAATGAATTAATAGAGATGTTTGTTACATGTACGTTAATCTTAATTATCACATTTGTAGAAAAAAAAATGATTTAATATAGTACATGAATATTTATAAAAGAAAGGTATATTTAAATTTTTAAATCAACATATTATCACATTTAAAGTAAAACCGAAATATTTTGGTGTGCAATTAATATAAAAGTTTTCCTTTTCATTTATTAGTAATTTGGTATTTGTCAAGAGAAAAACATGCATAATAATTTAATTTTGAATACATCTACTTGTATTATGTAGTTCTGTAACATGGGTTTGGCTTTTTATTCCACCATCATTCACAAGATTAACACTAGTCATAAAAACATAATTTTAATATTATCTTTATTTTAATGCTTGAGAGACAGGTTCAAAACCAAAACTATGATGAAAGAATATGTCAAAGACATAGGGTTATATTTTGACACACATATTTTTAAAGCAATTAAATTTAAAATAGGGGTAATCCTATCATTGATTTCATGATCTTGAATTGTGGGGGAAAAACACATAAGGCTTTTATCCTCTGTAAACTTTCATGTGATATACATGTAATTGTTTATTTTTTCATGTAATTTTGATTTATATGTATGGTTTTTCAGTATTGTGCATTGATGACATATTTCACCACATCAAATAACCAATTTTGTTGATTTGTCTTTCAGTTAGTTAATTTTCTAACACCTCAACTTTGTACATATAGAATTAGACTACAGTGTTTTAGATTTCATTCCTTAATGTAGTAGTGCTATTATATACACTATTTTCTCTCTCCCTATAATAGTGCTGTAAATATTCTTTGATTCACTGCATATAGACTAGACTAAAATTGTATGTCTTGAGTAAGGTATGGAAATGTAGTTATCAATTACTGTAACTTGTGCTGCGATTCACATATAGAACTGTATAGTAGATGTCTGTCTGTCTGTCTGTGTGTTACTTACAAAGAGAGCAGTCCACACTGTAAGTTGTGCTGTGATTCACTTGTAGAAATGTATTGTAGATGTCTGTCTGTTAATTAAGTGGAGGCAATGTGTATTGGTCTGTATCATAGGGGAGTGAGGTGTATGAATGTAAATTCTATGACATTTAAACAATACCAGAAGCACAAATATTTTATCAACATGACTGTTTATTTATTTGGATTCAAATATGTTTTCCTTATTTGTTTAACTTAAAAGTTTTTTATTTTAAATTTTTCCTTACACATACAATGCTGTTCAAGAACAACTGATTGATTATTGTGCTAAGTGCATGTGGTCATATTTCCAACAATTATGAACTAAATAGTACATTATTTAAAAGAAAAAAAACATGTACTGTTGATTGTAATACTAGTACACAAAAAATTATTACTTATTTAATTTGATGTATTTTCAAAGTGCTAAATACTAGTACATAAAAAATTATTACTTATTTAATTTGATGTATTTTCAAAATGCTAAATGAGTACTAGGCTATATTCATTGAATGTCATTGTTTTGGTAAGCATGAAAATATAGTACATGTAACAATAAATGATGCAGATTAAGAATGCCATTGTGTTTGTTTTTCTTTATCAGTTGTTGCAGTGAACAAAAATTATTATATTTTACCTGAACCTCGTGTATTGATATAGATAGACGAATTATTTCGTAGTCAAATTCAGTACAAAAACAAAGGCATAACACTTGGAATGAAACAAGTCAGCTAAAATACTACCCAGTGATAAGTTATATTTGCTAACAGTTATTTTAATGACCCAAAAATTTACAAAATGCTGACCTTAAACGAGGTTTTATAAATCCCTGCAATATCAACTCGTCTTTTAACTACTTCGGTTTTTAAAGTAAAATTTATTCGGAGTATGCTCAGTCTAGATTATATCTAAGAAGACTGGAGAATAAAAACCATTTTCAAGTGATAGCAAGATATTTCTACGAAAATAAGGAAAAATGACAATTCAAAAAATGAAGACATCTCGTTTGTCAGCTATTGGAATTCCAATGGGTACCAATTGCGCCCCATTATTAGCAGACCTATTTTTGTATTCACATGAAGCAGAATTTTTGTCGATACGATTTATCCTGGTGAGCTTGAGTTAAAGATACGACAGAGTCTGACACATCTGTTTCATACTTGGATATTTTACTTGAAAAAGATGTTAATGGTAATCTAAAAACCAAGCTGTATGATAAACGCGATGACTTTAACTTTTCTATTTTCAACTTCCCCTAAATTATGCAGCAATATACCTTCATCATCTGCATACAGAGTTTACATATCTCAGCTGATTCGATACCCAAGAGCATGCTCTACGTATGAATATTTTCAACAATGAGGTAAATTATTGACAAACAAGATGAATAAACAAGAATATCAGCAGTCTCGTTTAAAGTCATCATTTCATAGGTTCTATGGTCGATACAATGACCTTGTCAGCAAATACAATTTATCATTGAGTCAAATGCTGACTGACATTTTTCATACTCATTGTTGGTCCATTATTTATACACTGAATTGACGACGGATTTTTCCTTTATTTCACAATCATGACAAAGAGCACACGGCGGGTGTGACCGGTCGGCAGGGGATGCTCACTCCTCCATGGCACCTGATCCCACCTCTGATGTTTTGGAGGTACTTGTTTGCTCTCCTCCTATTTTGTATTGTTTTGTGGACTTTGATCTGGAATACTGTTCGTTATCTCCATATGTTTCATTGTCATACAGCTTAGATGTTAGTTGGCCGGTATAATATATAGTCAATAAAACGTCTGCTCCTATTTTATATTGTTTTATGGACGTTGATATTGAATACTGTTCGTTATCTCCATATCCTTCATCTCAGGAATATTAAAAACGGGTCATCTAATAAAGAAGCACAATAAAAACCTATCGAATTTCAATTGCCAGAAAACGTCCTCTTCGAAAACTACAGAAATTTTATCAATGGGAAACTGGACAGCATCTTTACATAATTTTGTGAATAATCAGAGTGATATTTTACGAGGAAAGATCACTTGTTCCTTAGAATATTTTAGTACCCGCATCTATGGCAAGCCCTTTTACTATTTATTCGTAAAATAATTTTTTCTTTCAATTTGAGAGATATCTCTTTAGCCTATAGAGATATCTCTTTGACTAATAAAGATATCTCTTTAAACAAAAGAGATATCTCTTTTTGATGGAGAGATATCTCTTTTTGTAAGAGAGATATCTTTATAAGCTAGAGAGATATCTCTTTCAGCTAGAGAGATATCTCTTTCAGTGAGAGAGATATCTCTTAAAGTTAGAGAGATATCTCTTTAACAAGTTTAAAAGAGATATCTCTCTTAGTTAGATAGATATCTCTATAGATTTTCAAAAAGAGATATCTTTCTACGCTAAAGAGATATCTCTTTTAATGAAAGAGATATCTCTTTTCAAATCACCCTTAAAATAACATAATTAATTCTCCCGTTGAAAACGAAAGCGAAACAGGAAGTAATGTTTGTTAAGTCGTTCGTTTTTTTGATTATTGAAAAAGAAAAAGGAGAAAATGGATTGATTGATACAGGTAAACAACGTTTAATCGCTTTATTGTTTTAGTAAATTACGTACATACATTACATACAAGCTATTCCAAATGGGTAACGAGCATTTTATAGCATAAAAGTAAGTTGAAATTGTTTTCAAACTAAATTGTTCTCCAAAGATTGGTTCCATATATTGATTTCAGGCACATAGCATCGTTTTTGAAAGGGGTCGGGGTGGGGGGGCGCAACTAGAGAGATTTGTTTTTTATACTTACCAGTAAAAGATGGCCAAACTCGATAAACCTATTTCAGGAGGGGGGGGGGGGTGTTAGTGGCCAATTTTGTTCAAGACCAAATTCCTTTCACTTCCAATTTTTATAGCATAAAATACTACATTTCCATGATATCACTATACTGTTATTCTATACTGTGGTAAGAAGTGGGGGGGGAGCAACAAACCATTCAATGCACGTTCTCTATAGAAGAGGTATTGTTGCGCCCCCCCCCCCCTCTTGTTGCTACGTGCCTGGATTTAGATCAAGGGGCAGCTGAAGTCGGGATATAGAATGCAAATTTAATTAAAACAAATAGGAAATGCATGTGACCAAATTCGTCAATCACGGGAATACAGGGTCGATTAAACATAATCCTGATAGAATGTTTTTCTTTAATTTGTTAATAGTTCAGAAATAAAAATGTCCAACATTCCTTTTTTAATTTACACAGGGATGTATATACTCATTTTCAATATTAACTGTAGGACGTTAAACAACACACATGTACAATCAATTTATATTAACTGTAAAGCCTTATGACCCCCTTCCAAAATACTAGTACTCTTACAATTAAGAGACAGACACAGCTAGAACAATCAAACAGTGTCTTCCAACAGGCCCTCACTGGGTCCATAGGACATTCATCATTCTATGATGGAACATTTATCTACTTTTATCATCATATACTAGTATATTTTACAGGGATCCAGGGGGTACCGAAAAAGGGACAATGCTTCGACTGAATGTGCCATTCATTTACATGTACCAGTATAGATCTGTTACTGAGGCATATTCAATAATTCTTATACTCATGAAAAGTGTGGGAACTTCCAAGTATTGATGCTGGGGCTCATTTTAAATCAGTTAAAGGATAAATTTTTGGGCTGCACTTTTCTTTACTTCAATATTTCAAACTTACTAGTTCAGTATCAAGTTCACAAAAGCTCACATACCATGATGATAAATCAATGGACCATAATTCTAGTTAAATTTGTCATTGCTTTCTTATTAAATCATCTATTTGAAATTTGATCGATAAAATACATTTGTTAACAAGTATAATTCTCCTACTGTTTGCCTAACATTACATCCCAACGATTGAAAATATATGTTGATAGGTTCTCCACAAAAATTGCTATCTAAGCAGAATGTAACTTGTTTGCACATTTGTTTCAACGAACTACATTTTCTTAACAATCCTTCAGTATAA